GGCAGGCGGTAGTTACATACACCTTTAATCCCAGCACTTGGGAGGCAGAGAGGTGCATCTCTAGGTTTGAGGCCAGCCAGGTCTACAGAGTGTTTGTGGACAGCTAGAGCTACAAAGAGAAACCCTGTCTTAAAAAACCAAAACAAAAAATTATATATATATATGTGTGTGTGTGTGTGTGTGTGTGTGTGTGTGTGTGTGTGTGTGTATGTATCTCAAACCAAAAATTGCAAATTAGGGCCCACAGATTAGCCTTCTGCTGCTGTAAAGTTTTATTTCCAGGACTGAGATAAGCTTAACTGAATTTTGTCTTTAAAGTGTGATATTTTGTTCACCAAAGATATTTTTGCTTTATTAATTTCTTCAAAGATGGTGTCTCATGACCTTGAGATTGCTGCAAAGCTAATGCTGACCTTGAATCTCTGACCCTGCCTTCCAGCTGCTGGGATCTGAGGTGTGAACTAGCATACCCAGTATATACATTTATAGTGCTAGACACTTGTTCTAGCAACTGAGATATTATTGCTTCAAGTAACAAAGTCTTAATAGATCAAAACCACTGTCAATAACAACCAAGGATCCTTAGTCGGATGAAAACAACATATTTAAGACTAACTCTCAAAATAGTTTTTTGTTTCCTTGTTTGTTTTGTTTTTTTGTTTTTGAGACAGGGTTTTTCTGTGTAGCCGTGGCTGACCTGGAACTCACTCTGTAGACCAGGCTGGCCTTGAACTCAGAGATCTGTCTGCCTCTACTTCCTGGGTGTTGGGATTAAAGGTATGCACTACCACCGCCTGGTAAAAGATGGTATTTTTACTTTTTTGGTGGCCCTGAACTGCTGACCTCCTACCTCAGACTCCTAAATGTTGGAATTATAAGCTTGGGCATCTTCAAACCACTTTTGTAAAGTAAGTGGTGAAGAGTTGAGACAAGTTAACCCATCTGTCATGCAAACAGTTTTGAGCAATTAGAGGCTACAGGTAAGGTCTGAACAACATGTGAAAGAATCCAGATACTTTGGCTATTATCAATGATCTGAAGGCATGACACTCAGAGGAGAGCTCTTCCTACCTGCCCATTACCTCCCAGCCCTGGCCTCCACCGCTTACTTCCCTTGCCTCCGGTGTGTCATAGGAGGAGAGAACAATGACAGTGGGAGCAATGTGAGGTGAATACCACAGCCCAACTCTGGTTCTTCCAAGGTCTTGAGGCCAGCATGCTGGGCATCAGGGCTTTCTTCTGTCACTTCTTAGCCTATAATCTTGAGCAAATTCTCACACTACTACCTGCCCCAGTGTCCTCACAGAAACACGGACTTAACACTAATCCCTTCCTTACATGATAATGGAGACTAGTAAGGCGACAAAGTGAGAGCCAGAATTCAACAAACATAAATAAAGAAAATAAAGAACAGCCAGGCTTAGCCAGGAGGTGGTGGTGCATGCCTGTGATGGTTTGAGTAGAAATGGTCCCTTAGACTCACGTGCTTTAATACTTGGCACTGTTTGGAGGTGGTATGTCACTGTGGAGGTGGGCTTCAATGTCTCTTATGCTCAAGCTATGTCCAGGGACACTGTCCCTTTCTGTTGCCTGTAGATCAAGATGTAGAATTCTCAGCTCCTTCTCCAGCACCATGTCTGCCTGCGTCTTGCCATGCTCCCCACCATGATGATACTGGACTAAACCTTTGAACTGTAAGGCAGCCTCAAATAAATTATTTTATAAGAATTATCCTGGGCTTGGTGTCTCTTCACAGCAATAGAAACCATAACTAAGACCAGCCTTTCCTCCCAGCATTCCAGGGAAGAAGCAGGCCAGCCTGGTCTACAGAGAAAGTTCCAGGACACCCAAGGATACACAGAGAAACCAAACCGAACCAAACCAACCAAACAACCAATCAAACCAGCCGGGCTTGGAGCTACATATCTATAATTTTACTTTTTGGAGTTGGAGGCAGGAGGAGTCAGCCTGTGCTACATAGTGAAAGTTTAGCCTGGGCTATAAGAGATCCTTCTACAAAACTAAATAATAGTAACAATAACCATACCTTTGTATGGATTCATGTAATTGGCTTTTCTGTTCTTATTGCACATGATGTGGTTTAGGTAACTTATAAACAATATAAATTCAATCCTCCCAGGTTGGGAGGCTGGAAAGGCCATGATGAAGACACCAGATTAGGACCTGATGAGGGGCCATTCTTTGTAGATAGCAGCTGTGTCCTTACAAGGCAGAAAGACAAACATTGTAATAGGAGGAAGAGGCACATACTCCGTCAAGTCTCTTTAACAATGTTAGTGATCCTATTCACAAAGGGTTCACCCTCAGGATGACCTAGTCACCTCCCAAAGACCCCTAACACCAACATATTGGTGATTAGATTTCAACATGACTTTTGGAGAGACAAACATTCAAACCACAGCACCTGTGTTCCATAATCTTCCTACACATAGAACTGAAGGGCCCAGCATCAGATGTTCAGTTAGGGTCACTTCCTTCCTCTCCAGCCAGACTGAACCAGTCTGAATCTGACACACCAGCCACGGTCACTATTGTGACCGTCGGGGCTCAATTATCAACAAATCGCTGAAAGTCTGGTGACTAAATATGAAGTATACCCAAACGCGTAAGGTATTCTGTTAAAATGAAAACACTTGTCATACAGCAAAACTGTATTTTATGTGTTCTTTTTCAATTCAATTTAATTTTATTTTATGTGTATGGGTGTTTTGCTTGCATGTATGTCTGTGCACCGCATCCACAAAGTGTCTTAGGAAGACAGAAAAAGGACATGAGATCCCCCTGGAACTTGAATTACAGGCAGGTGTGAGCTGTCAGTGTGGGCGCTGGGATTCAAACCCAGGTCCTCTGGAAGGACAACAAGAGCTCTTAACCACTGAGCCATTTCTCCAGACCATTTTTATAGTTTCCTGAAACAACCTGCAATGATATGGAGGCATGTAAGAAAAAAGAAAACTCTTTAAATATGGGTCTGGTTTAGTTTTTTGTTTGTTTGGTTTGTTTGCTTTTGTTTTTTGATCTAATAAAGGAACATGATCAAGGGCAACTTAGGGAAGAAAGCTAATTTTGGCTTACAGTTCCAGAGGGTTAGAAACTGTAATGGTGGTGACAGTATGCTAGCAGGGCCAGAAACCAAAAGATCACACTTCCGTCCTCATGGAGAGGGAACAAACTGGAAGTGGGATGAGGCTATGAACTCTCAAAGTTGATCTTCCTTCTCCCTTCCCCCTCCGACACTATGTACTTCTTCCTGCAAGGCTCCACCACCTAAAGGTTCCACCCCAAACAGCGCCACCAAACTTGGGATGTTGAGTTTTCTGAGCCTATTAATTCAAATAGCTTTAATTCAAACTGCCACAGGTTCTTACTATGCTGCTTAAACTTGTCTAAAACTCTTGGGCTCAAGTGATCACCCAGTCAGCCTCTCAAGTAGCTGACAATACAAGCATGCACAGATCATTGCATCCTTTGGAATTTATATATATATTTCTTTTCTTTTCTTTTTCTTTTTCTTTCTTTTTTTTTTTTTTTTTTTTTTTTTGACAGGGTCTTACTCAATTTCCCCAAGCTTTACTTTTAGGCCTGACGTCAGATCATAGTTTTAAAAGTAAAATTAGCCAAATATTTAGCCTATCAATAAAAGACTGCACCAATTCTACCTTACTAAGATGACTCTGTAGTAGGCAGAAGGATATCCTCCGCCTTCTGCGTATAAGATATCCTCCTTCTAAACTCCAGGATCTGTGTGAATGTATTACTAACATGGAAAAGGGATTTAGCACATATGACTGTCTTGAGGAACTTGAGTGTGGTGGTTCGAACAGGAATGGCTCCCATAAGTGCATAGATTTGGATGCTTGACAGAGATTTGGAGGTGTGGCCTTGTTGGAGGAAGTGTGCCACTTGAGGTGGGATTTGGACTTTCAAATGTTTAAGACAGACCCAGTGTCTGTCTGTCTGTCTGTCTCTCTTTATAATGCCTGACAATCCGGATGTAGAACTCCCAGCTTCCTCTCCAGCACCATGACTGCCTATGCGCCACTATGCTTTCTGCCATGATGATAATGGACTAAACCTCTGAGCCTCTAAGCCAGCCTCAGTTAAATATTTTCTTTTATAACAGTTGCCATGCTCATGATGTTTCTTTATAGCAACAGAACATTGACTGAGGCATTGAGATAGAGAAATCCTTTATAAAAAGCTCAACATAACCACAACAGTCCTTAAAAATGGAAGAGGGAGGCACTAGAAGGACGTTACTTCAGAATAACAGCACAGAAAAATACGATAGTTCTGGCTTTGGAGACAAATGAAAGGATTCCAGGTCAAAGAACTTGGATGGCTTATGGGCCTACTGAGGACAGGAAACGGATTCTTGTCTAGAAGGTCCAAAATGGAACACCATGCTGGACTACTGAAAGGCAGAATTAAAGGTGATGAGTGCACATTATTTAAGCCACCAAATCTGATGATTTGTTACAGCTGCAAGTAAAGGACCAATACAATCCCAGAATTATCCAACCACCCATGATATGCTGGAAAATGGTCAGGCCACCAGGTGAGCATGGGGAGTCAGGGTGGAGAGCGGGGTGGGGGGTGGGAGATGGGGAGAAATGGGAACTGACAACTTCCCTGTCTTCTCCAAGCTTCACAGTGCAGTTTCCAATCATTAAAGGGCAACAAAACAGCTCTACCATTTATGACCATCTCCCACTCTGGGGATTGAGTCCAAAGGTATCGAGTCTTAACCTGTTCCTGTTTAGAGATGGTGGGTAGGTCGTACTTGAGAACCGATCATTTCTATGTGTCTGGATCTTACAATAGAGGAGCTGAGTGAATGTAATTCCAATTCCTAATGGATAAAAATGTAAGTATTCATGCAGACAAATCAATAGCCAGGGATAGGAGTTAAAACTCTGAAAATGACCTAGAACACATAGACTGTTTTTTGTGTTTATTTCAACTGCAACCCAGCTCACCTGTTTCCTTGTGAGGTGGTGAAGTGCTGCTCCAAGGTGTGTCATCTTCAAACTGGACCCAGTTGCTGATGGCTGAGGCCAGATCCGGCGTGGGCTGCACTGGGCTCCCCGGAGGGGAGGCCGCTTCGGAGATAAGGCCCATCTTTTCAGAGGAGTCGTCCTGCTCAGAGTGTGAAAGGTCCTGCGAGCCTTCATCCACCGCATGGTTCTCCCCAGAGGAGCTCTCAGAGCGGTCGGAGGAGGACGACAATCCTGGGAAGGGTTCTTCAGTGCCCCCTGTAGCAGATAACAAACACTGCCATCACACCAGGAAGGACGCCCATCAGAACTGTCTCTCCAAGGGCAAGGGGCAAGCAGGACTCACTGGAAGACGGAACGGCTCTGCCAATCCATCTCCATGCCAAAGGGCTACGTCCCTAAGAACTTTTAAAGCCTGCGGTCTCACTTGTTCCCAGTCACTATCCAAGACAACTGAGAAAAAGAAATCCCTGTCATTGTATTTATTTGTGTGCACATGAGTGTGTATGGTGTGCATATGTGTGTTCGTGTGGGTGGGAGTGGGGGGAGTGGAGGCCAGAGGTTGAAGTTAGGTGTCTTCCTTGATTGTTCTCCACTTTCGGGGGTGATGTGAGGGCGTACTAGCCAGTACATACCCTGTGCACCCGTGGAGGCTGGTGGTTAACACCAATGCCTTTCTCGGTTGCTCTTCCCCTTACTTTTTGAGGCGGGGTCTTTCCCTGAACCTGGAGCCCATCTCTTTGACCAGACCAGCTGGTCAGTGAGCCTGGGAATCTGCCTGTCCCTACCTCCTCACTCTCAGTGCTGGGGCTGCAGTCATGTGCTGCTCACTATTTTCCCTGGGTACCGGAGACTGGATTCAGGGCCTAAGGCTTGCACAGCCGGCACTTTATCAGCTAAGCCGTCTCTGCAGCCCATTATTCTCAATCTCAGTATATCTATGCGCAGCCTGAGAGCCACAAATTCAAATGGAAACAGAGGTCGGGCAAGAAGTATTCCTGGGTTCAGTGGGACAAATGAGAAGCAGCACGGGATGGTGGGGGTCACGGCCGAAGAGCAGAGCTTCATTTTGTGCCAAAGAAGGGCAAATTCAAAATTCAAACTCTGTTCTGGACAAACTAGTTCTCTGCAGGCACCAGTGGCAAAACTCTTCCCAGATCCTCCCAAGACCCCTACCCAGCCAACTTCATGTTCTTCCTCTTTCTCACTCAAAAAAAAAAAAAAAAAAAAAAACAACCAAAAACCAAAACCAAATCTACACACTACACACACACACACACACACACACACAGAGTCTGTTTTACATTGGCCAACTACCCCTGGGCATGGGTGTGATTGATATAGTTAGTGAAACTACATTGGGAAAACTGATTTTCCCTTTCCCAGTAAGCATTAGTTGCAAATGACTTCTTGGCTAGGGGTGGGACTTTGTGTCCAGAAAGACAGAAAAAGAAAACTTGCCTTTGACAATAAAGCACTCACACTGATTATGGTGGTTGAATATCCAAGTCTAAGCAGGTGCTAAAACTCATCAACTACTTAGCGAGCAATGTCCACTTTAGTCTCAGAGACTTTCTAAAGAGCTTGTGAGGCTGGCCAACATGAGCTTCCACTAGCAGAGCTATCTCGCTGACCCATATGTGAAGCATTCTAAAAATCAAAGGAACAGTATGAAAATCCTTTCTCCCATCATGAGATAATCATAGTGACTTGCATACAATCAAAGCCTTCAGTGCCGTCTAAAAGGTGAGAGACATGTGTAGCTTCAGTGTTCTAGTTACCACATTAAAAACCTTAAGAGAAATCGGAGAAATTTTTTTTTTCTCTCTTCCCCAGGCCACACAAAATTGGAAAGCTCTCACTTTAGCGCTGAGTGACATCCCAGTCTGAGAAACTATTTTTAATAATGTTTTTATAATTTCAACATGTATTCAATGTTGAGAAATTGATAGATGTGATACAATTTTGTGTGTATGTATGTACCAGTGTTTGAGGGTGTGTGTGCGTGTTTGTGATGTATGCACATGTGTGTGAGCAGGTGCACACATGTGTGTGTGTCTGTGTAGGGGTCAGAAGAGATCACTTAGTACCCTGCTCTATCACACTTTGCCTGACTCCCTTGAAACAAAGTCTCCCGCTGGATCTGGAATTCCGCTGGCGGCCATTCAGCAACCTTCCTATTCAACGCCCTCCACAGCACTGGGGTTAGAGGTACATGCAGCTATGCTTGGCTTGTGGCACAGGTCCTGGCAATTTGAACTTAGGTCTCTATGGTTGCACAGCAAGCGCTCTGACTGAGTAAGCTACCTTCCCAGGAGCCATGTTCTAAGTATGAACATCTCCGTACATCTTGATTCAGCACATCTTGATTCCGATTTGTCACATTTTAGGGCTATCCGCTATCCACATGGGCACCACACTGGACTGTATACCTGCTGGCTGCCATGTTCTGTCTTTGCAGGTGAAGGTGCGATGAGGTCAGCTGGTGGAGGTGAAGTGGATTCGAGCCAACAGACGCGGTGCTGCAAATATCCCTGGACCTATCGTGACCTTCATCCCTGAGCGTTATGCTCCTAAAGGACAATGTGGTCGCTTCTGCCGTGATCCAGGGTGACAATGCTGAGCCCCTCTCATGGACCAGGCACTCCACTAGGCATTTTACAGCTGCTGACTGAAAGCCCACAAAAGCTCTAGAGGCAGGCCCCGCAAACCTCCCTCTTACGTAGACGATGCAGCAATGCAGGGAGAGGTCACATAAATCATTCTAGGTATGATGTCCATAACTGTAATTTTAACAGACAGGAGGCAGAGGGGGAGGATTGCTGGGGATTCAAGGTCAGGTTAGTCTACACGGTGAATTCCGGGACAGCCAAGATTATAATGTAAAACCCTGTCTTAAAAATAAAACACAATACCAGCCAGGTGTGGTAGCACGTGCTGTTAGCACCAGCATTTGGAAAGCAGAGGCAGGTGGATGTCTGAGTTTGAGGCAAATCTGGTCTACTGAGCAAGTTCTAGGACAGCTAGGACTACCCAGAGGAAAACTCTGTCTCAAAAAACAAAACAAACCAACAAAATAGAACAAAACAAAACAGAAAACAAAAAATACATTGCTAGAAATATGTGGGTAAGAGTGCTTGCTCTGTAAGCATGAGGATATGAGTTCAAATCCTCAGTGCCTACATAAAAACCAGGCATTGCTACACATGCCTATAACCCCAGAACTAAGTAGAGACAAGCAGATCCTAGGGAGCTTACTGGTCAACCAGCCTAGCTGAAACAATAGGATTCTGTTTTGTGGTAGATCCTGTCTCAAGACAAGAAGGCAGAGAACGATGACACTTTCCTAGCCTCCACACAGATGGGCACAGCATGCACCATGCCCTGCCACCCCACCCCACACACACAACATTCACCCAAGGACATTCCATTCATCATCCTGTGATGAGGACAAGCTTAGACTTTTACAATGTTAGAGTTTTGCAATCTGGCTCAGTGACCTGTCTGTCACTTTTAACAGTTACACTTTAAAAATTGAGAAAATCCAAATAGCTGGTGGGAGTAACCACCAAAAAGAGCAACAGTAAAGCAATATGCAAGAAACGGGCCTGTGCCCTTCGTGTTTCCAGGGTTTTGGTGATGCCTCAGGCTAAGAAGACACCCTTCTTCTGGCTACTGAAGAAAGAATCCATACGTACCTCCAGTAAGAGACCAAATTGCATTTTTCTTTTTCCCTTTATTTCAATCCCACCTGTGAATGACCAAGAACCAGGCACAAATCTTGTTATTTTTAAGAAATGGCAGCACTCCTTACCCTCTGAAGGGGTAGGGAACAATGGCTCTTCACTGAAGGAGACCCACTCTGACTGGTGGGTAGCGATGACATGGTCCAAGGTTGTCATGCTAAAAGGGCACTGATCATCTTCACACTGCTGACCTCAGGTGGACCCCAGAAAGATGTCTGGGGCGAGCAGGACAGCACAGTGGGCTTGGGCCTTACAGTCCGTCACAGAGATCTTGTGAATGGCAGCACTCAGAATGGAGACAAGCTCAGTCCTCCTTGCCTTTGGTTAATATGCCAGGCAGAGATCTGTTTAAATAAGAAAAGACATTGAAATTGGTAAAAAAAAAAAAAAAAAAAAAAATATGCTATGCTGAATCCACACAGGTCCAGGGCTTTGAACACCGTGATGAGATTTCAAGCAGTCTCCAACATGCCATGTCTTTCTCGCCTCCTCCTTTTCTACTAGACACTTTATAACACCACAATCCCTGGATAAGGATTCTGATCAGACCACTAATTAACTGCCCAAATTTTAGCAAGTACATTCCCTAATTTCCCCAATTATTCTATTTCAGAAACAGTTATCTATAATGGAAGGCTCTTGGTTACTATTAAGAATTAAAACTTGTTCATCATGCTTTCGTTATTTTATTTTTACCCAGATGGTGAAACAAACACATGCTCCTTTCCATTAAACCAGAGCTCTTTCTTGCCTCAGGCAGGTAACTTTTTGCAAGTCTGATTTGAATCTCTGGCAGAGAACCAGCAGCGTCCAGATGGCATCTCCTAGCATGATTAACCAATCAAGAAAAAAACAAAACAATAATGTAGTCATCTCTTGTTCATTTAAGTAAGAGGCTAGGGGATATTTGCTTTACTGGGAAAAAAAATTGAGTTAAACACATTTTCAATCTAGGTCCATTTGAATTTGAATATAACTGTCAAACCTTTACTTGCATGTTCTGTGGATGTTCAAGATTATTTAAATGGCTTATAATTTTTTTCATGTTATTAATGTCTTTTCACAACTTGAACCTTGCTCTTGATCTTATGATGAATGAAGAGAATGAGAATTAATGCAAAATTAATGCGCTTTTGCAAATTAGCCACTATCTGTCTTGAGCACTGCTGTTCTAGATAAGCAAATACACCATTCAGATGGTTTGTAGAATGCTGTAACTCAGCCTCCACAATAACAACAAAAGTTAAACTTTGCTCTAAGTTTTTATCTTCAGTGAACAATTTACACTGAAAGAAAAATCAGTATAGAAAACATTTAATGGCTTTGCCTTGTTTGGTGAAAAAAAAAAAAGTTTTTTTTTTCTTTTTAAAGCAACTGCTTATATAAAATTTATAATTTTCAGAAACCAGTTTATTGGTCTGTTGTCTGTTTGTCTGTTTGAGACAGTCTCATATGTCCAAGGACATCCTTGCTAAGTGGACAAAAATGGCCTTGAACTTCTGATCCTCCTGCCTCCACCTCCTGAATGCTGAGACTAAAGGTATACAGTAACATGCATAGTTTAAATCAGTGGTTCTCAATCTGTAGAGCACGAGCCTTTTTGGGGCTGAACAACCCTTTCACAGGATTGTATATCAGATATCCTGTGTATCCTACATTTACATTACAATTCATAACAGTAGGAAAATTACAGTTACAAATTAACAACACAAATAACTTCATGGTTGCACTACAACATGAGGAGCTGTGTTAAGGGTCACAGCTTTAGAAGGGTTGAGAACTACTGGTTTATGTTGTACTGTGGATCGAACTCAGGACTTCCTGCATGGTAAATAGGCTCTCTGCCAACTGAGTTACTTTCATAGCCCTCACCTTCCATTTTAGATAGCCTGGCCAGGTGGCAATATCATTCTTCTCAGATTTAAAAGGAAATCTGAGTGGAGAGAAATTAGGTGACTTAGTCAACACTAAAATGTGCCCTAACATTTCCAAAAGGCTTCTTCTAGGCTGTTAAGTAGAAAAATCCACGGTTTCAGGTCACACTGACTCTTTTTTTACCCATGGTAATATTCTGCATAAAGAATGATGAAATTGAAGCCACGACAAACAGGTACTCTGGGGAAACCAAGCTGTGGATTGACAGATCCAATCCCTGAGCCAAGGTCCTCACTGTAATCTTTGAGTTATAGACACAGAAAAGCAGTACAGAGTATATCTAGATTATTGTGCAACTGAAGTAGTTTACGAACATCAACTGCAATAGAACTGTATTGACATTTCCTGAGAAATTTCCCATGTGGAGATCTGCCAGAACACCCAATGTGCACAGAGGATGGAATGTCCAGAAGTCTCTCCTCCAAGGCCCTCCCCTGAGATCCTTACCAGCCACAGGACTGGACATGTGCAGGCAGCCTGGAGAATGTTGCTGTCCTAAACCAGATCTCACCTTAAGCAACTCAGCCACAAACTCAAGGGCTGGTTCCCACAAGTGACTGCCTGTCAGCTTTTCTCTAGCCTGTCAGCATCGATGCCAGTGTCACTCAACGTGGTAATGGCTGCGAGCCAAGATAAGACAGCAAAACTGAAGAGTCAGGGTCATCTTCTCAGAAACAGCAGCTGGGTGTAAAGCCGCACCCTCGCTGTGCCTCTCCGAAAGAAAGCCACAATGCAAGGCATGTGCTGACACATGCTGCGTCACAGCTCAGTGTGGAAAACATCCTGCTTATCCCACAAATCGTGAGCCCAGAAAAATCCATGGATGAGTGGGGTTGGACGAATGGACAGGGATAAGGAAGGAAAAGGTGCAGGGCGCAAAGTAAGGGCAGGAACTGATGCAGAGGACATGAAGGAGTGCTACTTACTGGCTTGCTCTCCATGGCTTGCTCAGACTGCTTCTTACAGAAGCCAGGACCACCTGCCCAGAAGTGGTCCTGCCCATAATGCATTGGGCCCTCTCCCATCAATCTCTAATTTAAAAAGTGCCTACTGGCCAGTTTTACAGAGGCATTTTTTTTTTCTAAATTCGAGTTCCCTTCTCTCAGATGGCTCTAGTTTATGTCAAGTTGAGATAAAATGAGGGAGCATGAGTGCTTGAACTCAGCCTCTTTAAGTCTCAGCTTAGCTCTGTCCACCAAGAATAACAAAACTCACTTTATCATTCAAAGCAATCAATGGAATCATGAACACCAGTTTGGTAGTGGCCACAAAAAGCCCTCTGTAATAATGAGAAGGACAGGCTGCAGTTACTGAGCCTGACAAACTGCTAGGCTAGCATGCATGAGGCCCTGGGCTCAGTCCCCACCACTGCATAAACTGAGCATGGTGGCACAAACCTGCAATGCCAGCATTCAGGAGGCGGGTGGCAGGAGGATCAGAAGTTCAAGGCTATCTTTAGCTACATAGAGTTTGAGACTAGCCTGGGCTTACATGAGACTTTGTCTCAGAAAGAAAAAACAATGACAATGGTAACAGCAGGTGACCTTATGGAGGGATTATCCTGTGGCAAGAACCATTCCAAACCCTATGTAAATGTTACTTATTGTCATTACCACCGTTGTTCAGTGTCTCGCCCAAGGTGGTACAGCTTTTGGGGGAGATGTCTTTAGAGTACAGATTTATAAAGCTGCCCCATTTCTGCCATTTATACATCCTCTCTCCAGTGATTTCCCCTTTCAGTCATTATTAGAGAAGGTTTCTCTGATGCTAAGGGGAGCTAAGTGCTTGGTTACAGGGCCCGGAGGCCAGTTCTGAAACTTCCTCTTTTCAGACAGATGCACATTCTGCCTGAGAAACCAAAACCATCACTCAGCAAGAATACAGAAGAGCCCTCGAGGAGTTCTCTGCTCTTCATTAGCTTATTTGTCCCAGATCAGGCCTGAGCCAAAGAAAGGCCAATAAATACGTATGCAGGGAACCTCCGAGCATATCCCTGTGAAAGGCATTCTGGGTACTTGTCTCGAGAAGCATTATGCTAGTTAGTAGCTCAAAACCAACAGAGGAACCCAACAATTGTGTGGCTTGGTTTGGACTGGAATTAGTTTCTCAGTAAAATCCTCACCCCACCTTTAACTGTGACTCATAAAGTGAGTCTTGGAGTCACCACAGATGAGCGGTGACTCACAATCAGCAGCAAGATCGAGCTGGAGACAACAGAAATTCCACTGAAGTCTCTGGGCTGCTTGCTACTGTACAGGCACCTTGTTCTTGGCATCACTTATGCCTTAAAAAGTGCAGAAGGAGAATGCGCTTGACTGACAGCACACGAGTCTTAAGTAGACCGTCTTAGGTCAGTCCTCTCACACTCACGAGCTCTGTGCTCCTGGAAACGTGTAAGGTATCCTTTGATACAGCAACCCCCAAGCGGCCATAGCTTAGCTGGGGGAGACGAGGCAGAATAGCAAACACAAGTCTGGAAATAACTGCTGGCTGTACGACATCCAGGGGTGGTGCAATTGTCAGCCATGCTCAGAGATGGAGAGACAAGGGCCTGGGGTAAGTTGCATGGATACGAAGGGTGCCCTGGGCTCTGGAATACTAAAAGCTGAGAGTAAGATTGTTCTGTTGGGAACTGGCTTTAATCCTGGTGGCACATGTCTTTAATCCTGGCACTTGGGAGGCAGAGGCAAGTGGATCCCTGTGACCAAGACCAAGACTAGACCAGTCTACTGAGCAAGTTCCAGGATAGCCAGTGCTACAGAGAAACCCTGTCTCAAAACCAAACCAAAACAACAACAAAAACCCTGAAAACAAACAAACAAACAAACAAACAAACAAAAGACTGCTCTGGGCACAGAGGGATCAGTGTGAGTGAAGACTACTAGTAAATGGTTGGTAAGGATTATCTCTGGCCCAGTCTGATGAGAATGGAGATATGTATCAGGAAAATGTGGAAGAGAAGGCCCAAGGGACCGTAGCAGCTAAGGAGAAGATCCTGTGCAAAGTGAAAAGCTGCTAAAAGGTTTAGGAATCCACAGTGACTCGAGTGCACGCTTAAGAGAGAGTAACATTGCTCACTGTGTCCAGCAGCAGCTTTGAGGCGACAGTTACCAGTTATGGCAGCATTTCTGGTGTGTCCTATGGTCAAAAGGGGCTGACACCACTTGGAACTGATACTAGGCATGTTGTGCTGAGGTCAAAGAATTTGGCACTTTTAGAGTGTGTGGAAACACAAGAGACCAATACTATCTTGACACGGCTGAAAGTTGATTTCAGAGATCTAGACACTCACCTCTGTTCCCTAACCGATTCTGATGGCCTGTCTTGCCGAACTGCAGGGATAGAGTTAAGAGTCTAGAGACAACCAAGGGCTCTCTTGTACCTTCCCCTGGAACTGGATGTATATAAT